CCATCATGCCCACTAACTCATGTCCCTGAGTGCCTCATCTCCGCATTTCTTGAACACCCCCAGGGACAGTGACTCCATCTCCATGGGCAACCTGCTCCAACACATCACCACACTCTCTGAGAAGAAATCTCAAGTGGGTTGAACAACAGCCACAGAAACTTGTGTTTTTTAATTAGATGTGCTCCAACAATAGAGAAGTCTGTAAGTCTGCCCTCTTCTCAGCTAGCTAGCTCCCTTGCCTCTGGATTCAGCCCCATCATCTCTTTCCACCAAACCTTCCCTTATCTGATTTTGCATCAGTTGTCTGCACATGCTGAATATTGATAACTTACATGCAATTGTTCTTCATGAAAGACAATTACACATACATTTGGAGGTTACACATGTGAAAACATGGTGCTCCTGCTCTACTGCTGCTTCACTTTTTAGGCTTTCACACATAGTTAGGAAGAAAGGAGCTGTCCCAGCAACTTAGCAAAATTATTTACACTCAGACATATTTTTCAGGATATATGTTGCAGTCACAGAGGAATCAGCCATAAATATTCAGAAATAGGGCACAGAGGCAAGGTTAACAAAAGGGACCAAGGCCATTCATCCTCATTTAGCTGTTACTTTACAACTCATGCTCCCTAGTCTTCTTCAGTTTCACATACTAACGTGGTCAGAACCATATTATTAAGTATGCAAAGCGTGCCTCCTGGTAAAAGCAGATTTTCCGTTGTCTATATGGACGATTGCTGCAAGTCTATACCTGACAGACATTCTCACAAAGTCTGTAATGTTTCATAAACCCTGGCTGAGCTTTTACCATGTTCTGATTCAGAGTTCCCTCTGCCAACAAGTAAGTTAACTGCACACTTGAAGAAACACAGAAAAGCAGTGCAAATTAATTAACATTTACAAGCAAATGACAAGGAACCTGAAGTATTTTAAATCAGATTCTTCAGTTCTCAAAAGTACTTCTCACTCACCGTGCCTTAAATGCATTGCATTGTGTCTTAATTACCAGCTTTAACCAGAGCTTACTCCTGAGAATTAAAATTGTTCATGAAGTCACGTAAATGATGCCACCCCATTATACATGAAAGCCTTTCTTTAATTAGTTTTCTCAACTTCTCTGCTATTTGTATTTTCCGAAGTATTTCACCACAAATAAAAAAAAACAGTGTTCAGAAGCTTTCTCAATTAAGGCGTAACTAACACTGCAATGTCTAAGTAGCAAACCTGGCAAGACAATACTTGCCAATTCAAATTACATCTTTATTGATCAATCAGAGGATTAATACGCATGGTGTGAACCACCCTTCTCTGTAATCACTGAAAATCAAGCTATTCATGCATAAAATTTAACTTGCTTTTCTGTTATTCTCATCATTTTTATTTGTTGACCCAGAAAACCCAACAGCTCAGATTGCATGTAAGTCACTGTTTTCTTCTGCAGTCATTTTCAATCAGTGAGGATTTTTCTGATACTGCAACTCCATAGAAAATGTGTCAAGGCTCGGTATGGTACGCAGAATCAGCTTGAATTACTGCTTTTGTGTTCTCCTTGAGCCTCCTGCAGATGATGGAAACATATTCTCTCCTAGTGACACACTGACAATTTTTGTTGCATTTGCTCATACAAAGTTAATCTGTAGCAGCAATACACTGCTTGCAGACATTCACTGGGTTTGTTTTCATTGCAATTAAACTGTGTAACTTCTGTACCAAAACACTGACCTTCAAACAATCTCCCTTGCTACAATACATCTGGATTCTGCTACTTTGAGCCAAGCTTAAAGCATCAGGGCTTGTTTAAATGGATGTATGCACACACTCTCACTCCAGTGTTTATAAACTCACCACTTGTTAATGAACATAATTCATGATTACGTTATATTGTGAATATATTGCAACTGCTAATTTCCATCCCCATTGTCACATGAAAAGCAGGCAGAGATGTGAACCAAGATCCACTCCCACAGTCTTTAGTGGTCGGTTTTCCACAAATCACTCAGAAATCAAAACTCCACTTCCTGTAATAACATTAAACCAGTGAATGCTCAATCAACCATTAGAGGGCAAGTGCTCCATTTCTCATATAAAGCTGGAGTTACGTTATATGAAGAAAGAATAGCAGTGCCTCTAATTCAACAAGATCCTTTAATGGAGTTGACTCAAAAATCCAAAGACAAGCGTGTTACCATGCTGAGCTGCTGCTAGAGGGCTAGAGTACATCCTTAACTTCAAGCAACTGCAGATGCATTTTATCAGATAGGGACACAAAAGGTCTTGCCTTTACGTAATCAGCTGAGCTCTGTCTGCAAGATTAAACTAACAAAAAGTTGTCCACAGCCTGTCCTCCAGCCTTAGCCTCTAATGGCAGCTCTGCACCAGCTCTGTTCTAGCAGCACAGATCTTTGCACACCAAATCAGAGAACTTGTCTGCCTAAATTCAGCAAAATAAAAATGATTCCCTCAGATCAGATCTCAGTTATTCAAGGCAATAACCCTCCCACTCTCGCTAACACCGCACGAGAAAAATTACAGAGCACAATGCTGCCAGCTTAGGCAATATGAATGTTGTGCCCTGCCCAAGGCAGGGAATCAGTCCCAGCTTTTGGGTATCCAGCACAGTCAACAACCGCAGGTACACTCTGCCTTCCTTCATACTTATTTAGCACAGGCATGGGGGAATAACACCAAACTCATGTGCACCGCAGGAACAGTAGCACCACTGTGTAACCTAATGGGCACAAATGACAGATAAAGCAGTATTTTCTGGCCACTAATATATGCACCGGTGATGTCATTTAAAGAAGATTTTGTGTGTCTGGAGATGTTTGGATTTTTTTCTTCAGCTGCGGCAGCTGGCCTAATAAAACTTGCACAGAATTTGATTCAGCTAAATTCTCAGACCAGCACAGCTACAGCACCATTGCTACATATCTTACCTCAAAGCCTTTTTAGCCTCCAGAAAACAAGGTAAAGCCTTAAAGCTTTCATCTGACAAACTGCTTTCCCTCTGAGTAATTCTATTCCTGCAGCATCTGAGGAAACGCCCCTAACATCACAGCCTCTGTTATAAGGCAGTTTCTTATTCTTGGCTTACATTTTTGCTCAGAGAAAAAACAACTAACAAATTATATTACTTCACTTTGAAGAATGGATGGCCACAGAGTTTTTTGGTTTTTTTTTTTTGTTTGTTTGTTTGTTTTCACATATATGTGAAGCTTAGTAGGAATTTCACTTAAAGTAATGCACTACACCATTCTTTTTCCTCAGTCTGACTGTTCCTTTACTCACTCCTCCTTTATGTCAAGCCTAATAGACTTGAACGGTACTTTTTACTAAACAACAGTTGAGTATAGGATACAGTATACTATGATGAATTAAGTACCATAAGCATGACTGGCAGCCTATTTTACTCCCATGCAGGCTTTAGGTGCTAGCAAATTGGTCTGCCTAAAGTAATAGCCTCAGGCATACATCACAGCTCTTAGTATTAGATTTCAGGGCTATCAGATTAGTTGTATAAATTTGGTTTGAATTGGGAATTAACACTTTTTTTTTCTTTTTTTTCTTCTTTTTTTTTTTTTTTTTAATTAGGCACGGCACAACGGGAACATTGTTTCAGCTGCATACTTTTATATTGGATGCTGGAGGACATACCTGACACCACCATAAAATTAGAATGGATAAACAACATCCAAGCCAAAGTAAGACCTGAGAGTACGTAACTCTGCAAAACATTTGTTTTTACAGAAAAGCTGAAGTGGCAAAAAGGGTTTTGATAAGATACATTTCTGCATCATGTGGGCATGACATCTTTGATCCAATCAAAAGCACTCTGTCACACTCACAGCCTATCTTCTACACGGATTGTGAAGAGAAGCAGTCTCTGTTTGAAATGATGGTATGATGTTTACAATTAAGTCATCCATATTAATGACAGTTAGCAACAAGAAGAAAGTCCATTACAGCAGGGTGGATTTTTCTAGGACTTCATGCTGCCCTGTGACTCTACTTTAGACAAATAAAAAGCCAGAGTTAGTATAAGGTGATATAAATAACACTCAAAGAGCACTCTGAAAGCTGGCTGATCTTCCTTCCCTTGAGGGCAGTTCTCAGGGAGCACATTGCTATTTCCTGCTCACAGCTGGCAGTTACCACGAGCACTGACCAGGATGTCAGTTCTCCAAATACTCATACATGTCACAATGTCCCCTACCACTCCTCGGAGGAGCAATTAAACCAGGTTGCTTCAGAGTTGACTTAGTCCCAAAGCTGTCCCACCATTCAGTTTTTGACTCTTAAAAATGTCTCTTTCCACAGACACACTGAGCTTCTGCATGGCAGCACTTGGGGCGCATCAGGTGGGAGATCAGGAAAAGGTTCTTTTTCTCAGAGGGCAGCAGGCATGTAACAGGCTCCCAGAGCAGTGGGCATGGCCCTGAGATGCTGGAGTTTTTGCAGGAGCATTTGGACAATGTTCTCAGATATAGTATTTGAATTTTGGGTGGTTCTGTGTGAAGGCAGGATTCAGCGATCCTTGCGGATCCATTCCAAACCTGGATATTCTGTGATTCTATGATGAAGATCCTCACTTTCTTAGAAGTCAAGCTCTCCCTTTCTCAGAGTATTTGCAGCCACCAGGCATAGATGCTTTATCAACCATTTGTTCCACACTTGCTATCCTCACACTTTGCACCTTTGCAATAAGCCTACCAACAAAAATCTCTTCTTTGGTGATGCCATGACAATGATCTGAGCACTTCCAGGCATCTTGAAGATGCCACATCATATAACACCTCACTGACATCTGATTGCTTTCTAAGTTTAAAGCGAGTAAAAAAATCATTTGTTACCCAGCCTGGTTAGAGAGCCACAACACAAGACTACATCCCATAGCAGCCCCCAGTTGGAAACATCAAGTTTGTATTTCAGCACTCTTCAGCAGCTGTGGCGCTGTCAGAATAACAGAATATGGGAGAAGGCAGGTGTAAGGCCCCTACCTCTCTCGAAGATCAGCTCCCTGCTGAGCACGGTCTGATTGTCCCTGAGCAGCGCTCCCCGCACGGCGACCTGCGCGGGGCTGCCGGGCAGTAGGGCCACCCCGACGGTGACACTGGCTCCGGGCCTGATGTTCCAGGGAGCCGCCACCAGGAACGTAGGTCTGCAAAAGAGAGAGCGGGAGAGATGCGTTAGCCCAGACAGCGGCATGCGTCCAGCCAACGGGACGCGTTCCGAGCCGTCCTCTCGCAGACCCCGGGCCGGGGGCGATGTTCCCCGGGCAGCCCGGCCGCCCACCTCTGCCCCACGTACCCAGCCGCGGCGGAGCCGCACATGAGGAAGAGGAGGAGAAGGCGAACAGCGGCGCGGCTCCGCGCCATGGCTCTGCGAGCTACGCGTCCGCTGCGCTGCGCGGGCCGTCCCGGGCGGGGAGGGGGAGGAGAGGCCCCGCCGTGAGTCACGCCGCGACGGCTGCCGCCCGAGTGCCCTGCGGGGCGTTCCCGAGGCCGGCCTGGGGGAGAGGCGGGGGGCAGGCGGACGGCTGAGGGCAGCCCGCAGGGCCGCCGCTATGTGCCGAGCTCCGGTCGCGTCTGAGAGAGGCGGCGGTGGCTCGGAGGCTGCGATCACCGCAGCTCCCGAACGCGAAGCGATTGGTAACGGCGCTCTGGGTGGGTTGGCCTCGGTGCCCGGTGTCTGCAAAATAAGGTCATGTCGGCGTGCTCTCATGGACCCAGCCCTATGCTTTTTGGAGCCCTGACAGCCCGGGTGCTGCTTGTAACCGTGTGGGATAAGCACAGCTAACGATGCTTTGATTCATCTGAACCTTTGCATTCCTGCACAACGCACTGTGAAGTTCCTGAAGTCAGAAGTGCCAAGCTGGTGTGCCCTGTACATGCAGACACAGCTGGAGCCCAGAAGGGAAACCCCCCTCGCTGCTCTGTTCTTATGAAAAACAGATACAAACAGCACATGTACACAAACACTGCACACTCTAACAGGATCCCAGACAGCTGCAGCACCTTTTACATCTTTTAAATGTGATTGCATACATCTTTACACCACTGGTGATTCCAGAATACATCTCTGCAGTGGCAGGAGCAGATAGGTTGGTCTCAGAGCAACTGGTGCCATGAAGGTAGCTCCTGGCAGCTCCTCACTTGTAGAGGTACATGCCATGGCAAAAGCTTGCTGCTGTGTGCAAACCTTTCACTTGCTGCTTGTGGAAATCATGCAGGGAAGATGAACACTCCCTGACACTCCAGTGGAGATGGTAGGAAGATGTGCTAACGAGTTCTGCAGCCCAGGCACCTTGGGCTTGGTGCTCAGGCTTCCGGTAGTTCACATTTCTACAGTCACTGTAGCTGAAACCAGCATTGCTCAACCACGCCTGTCACACCGGTTAGCTCTCTCAGCCTCCAAAACAGTGCAGCCACCTGCAGCCCTCCTGCTGGGTACGGCCCTTAGACCACACTGACCCTCACACCACACCAGAAAATCTGAAGGAGAGCACTTTCTGGCCAGGACATAACCACGCCAAGGACAGCTCGAGGGCAGAGACAATGAACTTGCAGTCCCAAGAACATTTGCTGGCACCGTTTGATTCATTAGTATGGATGTATCCTGAAAGCCCGTTAGCAAAAGTGCTTGCAAATGTCACAGATTCTGCCCAGTACGCAACAGTGTTTGTGGACCTGTATCTTTCTTTTTTCTTTTCTCCCATGGGCTTATTATTTAAAAGATATTTTTGTGTACATGTTGATCTTTCTTCTACAGAAATGGCAACAAAGAAATCCTACAGCAGAGAGGGATACTACAACTTAGCAATTAATATTACAATTTGACTTGGCCCAAGTAGAATTAACACTGATAAGAAATAGATAAACAGAAGTGAAGTGTTTGATCCCAACCCACAACAACATTGAAGCTCCATTTCTTAAAGACACTGCACTCCGTTAATCTGCTCAGTATCATTTATGGCTGTGTATGGTAGGCTCTCGTTATGCACTTACATGTCATTAATTAGTTTGATCTAGCTCAGACAGCTAACTCAAACGAAAACAACAGCACTTCAGAGTGTGCTAAATTGCTCAAATGCAAACAGAAGAACACCTGTATTTTAAAAGCCTTCCCATACCCACCAGCTTCTGGGATACAAAATAATCTCAGCTGAAAAAAAAAAAAAAAGTCCATCCAGAACAAGCCCATTAAAGTGATGACCTTAATCTTATTAAACTGCTAGAATATCTGTCTTCAGCTGAACAGAATACCTTAACCCAGGCAACATCATTTGCAGTGTCACAGCAGCAGCCAGTTGGCACTGTCTCAGGGCTAAGTAGGTTTTAAATGCCTGGCTCTGACAAACACCTGAGAGACCAATTTGTGCACAGAACTGGAAGCAGAGGACTGCACAGCAACTTACTGAGATCACCATGTGAGGGAAATTTGTTTTGGACCAGACTTGTGTGTATTAGAAATAATTTTGAAAGCATATAACCTAGAATGAAAGGATTTAATAATGTTTGCCTGCTCCAAGCCAGTGAAGTGGATACTCTGGAGACACAATTTGGGTGGTGAAACAGGTAGTCATTGTGCTCAGCATGCCCAACAGGAAAGCCAGCTGAAAAATCCTCCTCTGTTCATTGTCACTTTCTGGAGTTAAGCAAGTGTTACCAGACTCGAGTTTTACACTCATCTCTGATATGTTACCACAAGGGAAATTTCAATTTTAACACCTTCCTTGTTCACCGGTAATCTGATTTTGCTAATCTTCCACATTCTCTGACAGAGCCTGTAAGGCTGCAAAACCCATCTAGCACTCGAGCTACATTCTCAGGCGGCAAACAATTACACTGCAGTCTGTTCCTGTGCTATCTAGTTTAAATCTAACCTGAATATATGCATCAGTATGAGCTGAAATTACACCTTTGAGCCTAGGAGTACTCCAAACAAGAACATGTTGAAGTACAGAAAACCAGAATGATTCCTGAATGGGACTAGAAAGCAACTTCTGCCTTAATAAATCAAGAAGGATCTGGCACATACTAAATACTACTAACTGTGTTAAGAGAGGCTGGAAATAAACAAGTGCACAGCAAAGTCTGCTTTTCTCTAATATCACCTGAAGAAAACTGTACTTTTTGTAAAGGTAAGCATTACAGTACTTAGAATAATGGCAAAAATCTCTACAAAAATATATCAGCAAGGACTTGAGTGGTTAGTGCCCTGTCCTGCTTTTAGCATCAGACAGCGAATTTGGCTGGTCAGAATAGGTTCAGCCAGATTCAGCAGGCACTCAACCAGATTTTGGTGCAAACAAAGCATTTTTCCACGAAATGAGGCAAATTCGAGGAAATCTGAAGAGCTATGTTATATGGAAATTCGAATTAGAAGATCATCATTGCCTCTTCCAGCACAATATTCTATCTTTTCATAAGCTTAGCCAGTTGTCTTATGCATCACTGATCTCAAGGCCTGCAACAAAGCTCATTTTGTTGATGAAAAAAAAAATCTTTTAATTACTCTCAATAGGCTTTGGATGAGGTCCTGAAAGAAACTGTGATTCAGCAACTCCTGGAACTAAGAAGGAAGCAAAAGTCTGTTTCATCGCTCACAGCAAGTGAACAAGAATTATATCGAATATTAAAAAGAGGGAGGTGGAAGATCATGCCATGGTATTAGGAGGATACATTCTTTGCTTGTATGTGAGTCTGCAGAATCTGCATTCTCAGGAAAGTACTGACAGGAATGTAGGATACAAAACTCTTGCTGAAGTGCACAGGAATAATACTTCTGATGCAGACTCTGGTGATGGAATTTGTCAAAGTGTTTTACGCTGTGCTGAGGCAGGGTGTGCCACACATTGAAACTCGCCCGGAGCTACAGGGTGGAGTGTCATGAAAAACTGGTCTGCACTGCAATTAAGATTCTCTTCCTACTACCTGAAGACACTTCTCTCGACAAACACTGTCATTTGCTAAGTTGCTTCCAACTTGAACTGTTACTCCAGGCACCACAGGTAGGATTCACCTTGTCCAACATGGGCTCTATTGTCTTTGTCTTGTTATTTACATTTGCTGAATAGACAATGGGGAGAAGCATGTCTCTTCATACCAGATTTATATGGCACATTACAATACCTACATTTGAAGGAGAAGACATTTAAAAGTGGCTTTCTAAATTAATCAGGTGAATTCCATTGTACAAGTACCAATTCCTATTAAATGTTAAAAAGGACAGCAGGACAAGTAGATAATACATCACTAACTCTAGAACAAATAAGATAAGCGTAACATAAGTGTAATAAATGAGAATGCAAAGAATCAAACCTAAAAAGACACAACATTTGTACAAGTTTGGGCTCAGGGTCTGTCTGAAGATACCAGGCTTTGGTTTTGTTTGTTCCAGGCTGGCATGAGAACAAGCAAGCAGTGATGTTCAAATAGAAGAGAAGCTTCTTTATAGTTAATATAGCATAAAAAGAGCCTATTATCCTGGAATTATGTGTTTACACTGTCATATTTGTGTTAATAAATTACTTGTGTATACCTTAATCACCCATCAAAAACATGATCAAAGCTGAAAATATCATATTGTTGCATTACATTAAATGTGTTCTTTGAAATGCCCCCAAACCCTTAGGTGCTGAGGGTTATGAAATGCATCAAATCTCTTATGAAATGTGTAAGGGTATGAGGACTAAAAGTTCATGACGTTTTGAGAGATTTACTTTTAGGAATAAGATTAAAAGGAATGGGGAATTAAAGAAGAAGTAATCAAATTATACTGTGGGAAAGGTGGAAGTCTGATGAGCAGACCTACAAATGAGTATTTACTGCCTATTGCAAAACCTGTCACTAAAGCAAAGTAGATGCTGAAAAATAAAAGCTTAATCTTTCATCCAACATTTCCTTCAAAGTTAAGCTTCTCCAAGCTAAATTGTTGAGTACCAAAATACCAGAAGGAATTCGCTACACAGTAACTGTTAACAACGAACATTTTTAAATCTTCAGGACAGAACAGCTTCTACTGGGAGTACATTAAATAGCTCTATTTGAACCTTGAAAAAACAGACTTTGTTCCAGCTGTTTGGAAAAAAAAAAAAACAAACTTTAACATTGTAACCGTACTTGGGAAAGTTCCCAACAAAATCCAAATCATTGAGGGTAATCATTATGTTTTAATAATGAACTATTTGGAGACACATCTCCCCTTAAAACAAAAGCTCTGAGAATCATGTAAAACAGGTCAAAGCTGTCCATACTCAAAATAGGCCTACAGGCTGCCTATTTAAGATACACCTGGCACTAAAACAGAGCTAGCAGAGGAGCAGATTATTTTCACGATTTTTTCCCATGTACTCCTTCTCTAGACTTTACCTTGAGAACAGATGAATCTCCAGAGGAAAAAAAGCTGGAGAAAGCTGAGGGCTATTCTAAGCATCAGTCTGCTCACAGCCATTTCCCTGAGCCACGCCAGCATCCTGAACAAGATTATTTCTAGAAACAATCCCTCTTAGCCATGGATCCAGCACAGGAATGAAAGGGCTGTGCACTGGATAGTTTCAGGACACTTAGGAATTTCCCTGCATCCAAGATCATCCTCAATTACCAGCTCCCTGCCCTTACAACCCTTTTGAATAGAGTGAGCAGTGCATAAGGAACCATGACAGAGTGAAAATGAGGCCCTGTCCCATTTTTTTCCCCCAAAACAACAGTTCTTGCTTGGCA